TCGCTATTTTGTTTAACTTGCTGCACAATTATAAACAGTGGGGTTTAATTGCCATTGAAGCTGACTTTGTTGTATCCTTGGGCTATTCCTACTTTGGCAAACACTGAGTTATAGTCGTGTGCTACCCTACAATTTACTGCATGCTTGTTTTTTGCTTTGGATGTCAGAAATCATAATGAGCAGTACAAACCTCAGAGATCCAAAATGTTAAATCACAATAATCAATCAGTAAGTGGCTTCTGCTTTACCAAAACAAATTGCAAAGTTCAGTCTGTGCAAAGGTAATAATGTTCATTAAATACACTGTAACTGTAAGGAAATGCTGCACTCCTGTGTGTATTGAAGATCGGTGTGTAATTTTTAGTTCATGAATCGCCATACAGGATATGTAGAGCGAAAGGAAATCTCACCGCTTCAATTCCTTAGCCGCCATCAGGACTCCCCAGGTGCTGGTCTGATAGGTGCGTCTCCACCTTGGAATGTAGTAGTATACAAACAGACCGCACTATCCAGAGAATTCCAAAACTTCAGACTTTATTGAAATTCACAGCATTCTAGTGTAACAGTGGATAAAAGTGTGTAAAGCAGCAAATACCAGCACCACAAAACCAGCTGGTTGGGGGCTTGCGGTGCTTGTATTTGATGCTTTATACACTTTTATTCACTGTTATACTGGATTTGTTGTGAATTTCAATTAAGTCTGAAGTATTGGAATTCTCTGGATAGTGCAGTCTGTTCATATACTACGCTATACAGCATATGTCTCGGACAAAATCTTTAACACGTTTCACGCATACTTACGCTTAATCATGATTTTATCTAAGAAATATGCTTTATGCATTTCCTTATACAGTAGTTACAGTTTACAGCTGGTTGCGAGCTGATGTGTGCACCCTGTCAGCGGATCCAAGCGAATCCAAGTGGACCGTGCTTTTTATTATTCATTAACCACCTTAGTACAGGAGCAATTTTTTATATTTTTGCCCACACATGCTAAAATCTGAATGTTTGTATAGAAAATTACTTTAAACCCTGAAACAATTATATATTTTCTGAAAGCAGGGGCTCCGTAGAATAAAAAAAAAATGGTAGCTGCATTTTGTATGTTGCACGAAATTTACGCAAATGTTTATCAAATCTATAATTGTAATGGAAAGACTCAAAAATAAATTTTAGTGCACAAACACAATATAATAATCAGTTTTTGATCAAAATTAAAAGATGGGGTCACGTCGAGTAAATAGATACCAAACATGCATGTGTTGAAAAAGCACCCGCCAGTGCAATGGTGAAAAACGATGATACCCAAGATTGTCCATTGACGAGGCTTTAAAAGGCTTTACTCTCATAAATTTAGAGTTAACAGTGAATCATGGCCCTAGAATTATTGCTCTCCCACTCTACATCCTGACAGCGTTTGCCATGGAACCGAATCCCCCGGGGGACCCCGAAAACGTCAGGGAGGGGGTTGCGGGGGTGGGGGCAGCGCATTAGCAGACTGCTGGTGAAAAGAACAATACTGAGAACATGGCTTCAGCAGCCATGATCTTTGTACAACCACTTCAAGACCAAGATGTACAGATACGTTCTAAGTTCCTGAAGTGGTTAAAGTTTATATTCTTGCCTTTTGGGATTTTCTACACCATATGCATGTAAACCGTTGCATAAGGGGAGTGTTGAAACAGCACAATCGTATTACCTTAGCAGTCATGGCGTATGCACGGCAAATTCACAGATGTGGACGAGTGTACGCTCCAGTGCCAGCTAATTGCTGACATACCTAAAAGAAAATGGGGTTTTCTCTAAGGGGCATATTTTTTTTAAAGCAGTGAATCCGACATTCACCAAACAGATGAATCTTCCAGTTACATGTGTTTAAACCCTTTTGCTGCCTCCAACGCAAGGCTTACGTCGGTGCCAGTACCAAAAAATTGCAACTGCCACCATTTTATTCTACAGGGTCACTGCTTTCAGAAAATGTATGTTTGGGCGGTTTTAAGTAATCTTCAGGCCTAAAATTTACATTTTAACATAATTAACCAACAGCAAATGGGCTGGCAGCAAACCATAAGGCATGACAAATCAAGCATGCACATTTCTTTAGACAGAGCACACTGCGGAGCATGCGATATGCATGGTGTAATGCACTGAGTTGTCTGTGGACTGATAGTGAGTTGGGTGCACGTGTTACTGTGATACCGCACATAAGTGCAATGTATCAGAATGAGCCCTAAGCTGATCACAATACCTGGGTGCACTTAGATGTACATGCTCATGTGATCCCTCATTGCAAGCATACTCATAATCCCCATAGAGGTTTCTCCCTGCTCTTGTGCTTTTCCTTTTAGTAAATCCGGCCTATCGTGTTTGGCAACCAGATACTGCCCTTTACCTTTTTCTTTAAAAAAAAACATTATTATATAGAAAGAAATTCTCAGTACACTTTATATATTTTACTTTATCTCTTTTATAACTTTTAACTTGATCGCTATGCAAAGTAGAAACTACACACAAACCCCTCTCTTTTTCAGTTTTGTGCAAGGAGTGCATGAGTACATGTGTAGAGCTCTGGATGCATTGATGTCATTCGTTTCATGGGAGCCGCCTACTGCTCAGTATGAATTTGAGAATATCGGACCTCTGCAGACTTTAAGGGACAAATGACATCTATGTGCTGCGTTAATCCACTTATTATTGCACTGCACAGCAACGCACAGTACATGCATTTGTGCATTGCGGCAACATTGATTTTGAATAGCACCCTAACCCACTAAGGCAATGCACATGTGTTCCACCACACGTGCTAACGAGTGAGCATAACCACAGTCCAAGTTTTATTTATTTTTTTAAAGTTAGAACAGTCTTTACTATTTTTTAAAGTTACGTTCAATGAAATCATTTCTATTTATTATTTGACTCCAGACTCAGCTTGTGCGATCTCCCTAAAGAATTCCTCTTTAAACTGGAACATCTTTCTGATAGGATACTGTTCTAGTCATGTTCTACGAGATATTTTTTTACACATAGCTCTCAAAGTGCACAAATGTCTCCCTGCCATTAGAATGTGTGACAAGCCTTCGTCAATCCCAAATTCCCTGCTTCCAACTGCATCCCCACTACTTCAATACAATGTATATGGAGTAAATAGAAATGGAAATTATAATGTTTCTGGTCATTTTTATTTTATTTTCTTATTCATTTTAAGTTCATAACTTTTCAAACTGATTTAAAATATGCTTTTAAATACTTAAAATATTTAAAATACCTAAATATATATATATAGTGTGTTTATAAGGTTAGTAAATCAACCCCTTTAAGTCAGAGTAGGCCATTGCTTTTTCATTTTTATGACATAATCACTTTAAGTGAGAAGCAGCAAACCAGATTTTTATAATATTCCCACTGGCACTGTGACAACAGTTTTTGGAGTGCTTACCACCAGTTCAACATTATTTTAATATTTTTGAATATTGCTTTGAATAAATATCAACAGATTGCATACAATAGTAATAGATTTTATGAGTGGTATAGATATACTTAAAGTTTATCCAAGCCCAAGAACAAAAATGTAATATATCGCAGCTCACAAGTCCGTAGATGTGACGGCTGTAATAATTTGCTTTTGCAAATCAGACAGAATCAACAGGGTTTTCTTTACTCTTTTTGAACAGATATAGTAAAATGCTTTCAAAGGAATATATTAGGCATGTAAGCCGGCAAAACATTAGTTTTGTTTCGTATTTTTTGTTCTTTCAGGTTTCAGGTTCGTATGCCGTTCTGTTTCGTTATTCGGATCTTTCAGAATTTAGTTTTGGAACAGGGTTTTCTGATTGGTCACATTTGTGATTTAAATTAATTTTGAACGAAATTCAGATGATCCAAAATTTTGTTAAAAGAACATTCGGGTTCGTTTGCATTCGGCCTTATTGGAATTCGGACATTAAGATACATTTCACATTCATGAAATTCCGTCCAAATTTGCATTTGGAACGAAATGAAACGTACATGTCAAGTATATACAACATAGCTAAAAGAGCAAACAAGATATGTTGGTTGTTAGAGTTTGCATACCTTTTAACATGGTTCATTTAATTTTCATTTTATTTCAATTCAGTTCTGTTGGACCTAAGCTCTATTTTTTCATGCTATTGTATCTGTGTTTCTTTCTAAGTGGCTGATCATTTTAACCCATGTTAGGTTTTTGTTGCGCACTTCTTTATCTTTCAAGTGTTCAGTATTAGGTATTTTATTTGCTGTGTACAGTATAACACCCACACCTTCTAAACACACTAGACATTTTTGTAGAGGGTATAATGATCTTAGATACGGCATGCAACAGAATCAGAAACAAGATCAGACACAAGGTTGAAAATATGCAGTATGCGACACATAAATTCTTGAAACTCAGAATACAACTCAGGCACATATACAACATTTTGGATAGAGATGTGGCACATCTATGAGGGGAATTTATCAAAATGGGAGCAGACAAAATCAGGAGCAGTTGCCAATGGCAACCAATCAGCTTCTATCTTTCATTGAAGAAAGAAGCTGATTGGTTACTATGGTCAACCTCTCCAGATTCTGTCTGCTCCAGTTTTGATAAATTCCCACATGTGTGTTTTATTAGTGTGCATATATCTGTCCCAAAGTGTGTCTCACATGCCAGTGCTAATTTCATAGGTTTGCACCAAATTCTTAAATGCCGTGCAATCTTGTACGTAAATTTGGGGCAAATAACAATACTATTCCTGTATCCCTGAGACACTTTTCTTATGTGTCTCAACCTCACTCTTTTTGAATTTCCCTGACCATATCTTCACTTTTTGAGTTCATTTCCACTTTAAGAAACTTTCTGATATTCGATAACTTAATGCATTTTAATAATTTATTTTCATTGATTTCTTTTCTAGGTTAAATGACAATGAGGATTGCCCATTGTCGATGGCCCAGCATCCACAAACTACAAACTAACTCTTGTGAATCTCCAACAGTTAAAATTGCAGCTGGAAACTCCATTGCCCTTGTATATTGCATGCACTACTTGTGATTTGTTTTGGGGATAATACATTGTATTCTATCTGAATGAAGCTAATTACACAAGTACCATTGGCAAGAGTAAAGCATCAACATTCTTTAAACTGACAGAAATAAACAATGTCTAAGAACACAGAAATACTTAATTTGTCTCATTTGCTGGATCAAGAACGGGACACGATATTGGCTGTGCTGAAAAGAGATGAAAACCTGAAGAAAATAGAGGACAAAAGAGTACGGTAAGACGTGTGATTGGATATTGTCTAAAACTCAGCACTGCTATTTCAGATTTGGATGATCTCATTGACTTGTTCTCATCTGCATTTACATAGCTGAGAAAAGTCTTTGTGTGAATTGCTGAGCACACGGTATATGTATTCAGTGTACAGTATGTGTCGAAACCTGCTATGTTTTCTTTGTTGTAGCTGCTGTATATTTTAGTTCACATTAGATGTATAATTTATTGTTCATTCCCATATCAGTAGTAATCATCCTGGGGTATGACTTCAAGGTTTCAGTCGAGCTAACAGTTTTTTGTATACAGTATGCTGAAATGCAATGAAGAACACTGACAACAACATATTATAGATTATTGTTTTAAAAAAAGGAGTTAGAGGTTATGTTGCCAACATGCTTATGCGTGCCATGAATGTAAAATCATGTTCATATAGAAATTATGAATAATTCGCCTATGGTGTCTTTTAGAAACGTATCTCCTTCGTGGCAGGAGACCTACACAGTACATCCCGCCACAACCTACCCAAATTACTGATCATGTACACTGTACGTGATCAGCTATTTAGAGCTGTCAAAAGTCAATAACCACTGAGATCATCGGTTACTGTTTATTAATGGATGCCTCAGTATTGAGGCATCCTTTAATGAAAGAATTAAGCTTTTGTATAAAAGCTTAATTCTTTCATCAATGAAAGAATTAAGCTTTGACAGATGCCTGACCGCTTGTAGCGATCGGGTATTTCACAGTAATAGCTGTGCAGTATTTACCGCACTCACTATCACTGTTTGACAGCTGAACACATGGGGGTCTATTCACAAAGAAGAAGAGAAGAGAAACCCCGCTGTGTCTTTTTTTTTCTTCTGACACGGAGCGATGTCAGAATAGAGAAAAAATCGGCCGTAGCTACGGCCAGATCCATCGGCAGCTTTGTGAATAGATCCCATGGAGATTAGGAAATCTCACTGTGTATCAGCTTTTTGCTACATGTTTCAGCAATAGAAACATTTAGCAAAATATTTCTTTGTTGAAACCTTGTATCAGACTTCTGATCGTTCTGGGAATGATCAGAAGTCTGTAGTGAGATCTGAACCTGACATGCTGCAGGATCAGCATTTCAGGCTTAATCACTAAGGTTATTATTTCCTAAGTTTGGAGCATCCTAATAATAACCATAATTTTAAAAAATGTATTAAATTATCAAGCAGTTATAGTGAGATCCATTCACCATGACTGCTTGATATGATTGAAAAAAAAGGTGTAAAATAATAGTGTGAAGCGTAAAAAATAAATAAAAATAAAGTGTAAAAAAATAAAAATACATTTAAAACAATAAAAAATATAAATATATTTTTCATACTATAAATATTATAAAAATTAACCCCTTATAATGAAAATAGGCTATTGCAAATTGAAATAGCCAATAGGAATCTAGCAATGCATTCCAATGGGCAAAAACTATATATATATTTTTTTTCTATTTTGACATGGCTCCGTGTCATAATAAAGAAAAAAAAATAAAAAGCAGTGTTTCTCTCCTGGGCGGGAGGCTCCCAGAGCGCCCGGGATAGTTTTTTTTATGACAGTGACATTATATGCCACTAACCTAACCCCTATTAGCTTTTAGAGAAACAAAAATGTTTGAAAAACATTTTTTTTTTTTACAAGGTGTAAAAAAAAATTAAATAAAGTGTAAAACAAAATTAGGAAAATAAAAATTACAGTTGGGATGTTTGTTCTGTACCCTCCAAGGGCACTGATGTCTGCAATCTGGAATCCTGTTACCCTATGATTACAGGGTCAACTTCATCATCAGCCTCCGTTGGGTAAAGCCAAGTCCCCTGCCTTATTAACTGGATTCTCTACTACAGTCACTCAAGACTTTGTAGCCAGCTTCACCCAGTTCCTCTGCAGAGGCCCTAAGCACGCTCCTGCACCCTTCCCCGCAAGAGTCTATTGCTGGTCTGCCAGCCCTCTTTGCAGTGACCATCTTTGATTCTGGGTCACCTCTCTTTTTGCAGATGCTAACTTTGAAGAATTGCAGTCTTCTGCTGCTGACCCAGATTTAAAAGATACTGTTTTTATTGATCCAATACCCGCTACCCTGCATTTAGAGTATTAGCCTGTTAACTCTAGTCTCAGGTCTTTTAAAAAAACCTTCAGCTGCAAAAAAACTTCCCATTACATCCATTTTTTGAGGTCCTCTATGGGGATTGTAGGCACCCTGATGGGTCCTGGATACCCACCAAGTGTCTACTGCATTTGTTCCCTTTTGGGAAGAATTCTGCCGGGCAATGGTCTATACCCACTGTGGGTCTGTCAGTGACCCGCCTTAAGGGGGAAACAATTAGATCTGTAGTAAGCATCCTCACTTTCAAGGATTCTGCAGACCAACAGTTAACAGTTTAAAACTCTGTTCTTGCCAGTGGGCCCTACCCATTCCTATATTCTGGCTTTGACCTTAATTTGGAAAAAGGCTAAATCCTTCAAAGGTTTCTGTCCACTGCGATAAAGGTTCCCTTTCTGATCGAGCATATAGAGCAGATGTCTGGGAAATAAGCAAGCAAGCAAGCAATGGAGGAAGGATACAGATGGCATCCCTATATATTGATCCTTGAGGTCAGCTATAACAGCACCTATCCTTTTTATTTTTTTTCCACAATATTTTATTGTGTTGAACATAAGCAGAGTTACAATAAAAGCCATGAAGGACAAAGACAAACATTTATTTTTGTTTTTGTTTTCCTGTACAAATCGATGTCTGAGTTATACAGAGCAACTTGAGCATAAATTCTGTCTCAAAACCATGACCATGTAAGAGAATATTGGTCTTGAATAAATACAGTAGACTGGAGCTGATGACAACCTGTAGTTGAAAATAGCACGGAAGGTTTATGTAGCTTTGTTGTTTATGGCTTAAAAGGTGTTCTCCCCTGCTGAACCAAATTCCCTAATAAGCTCCCCATCAAGTTAGTATCAAAAACCTGGTCATGGTCAAGTAATTCTTTTTTTTTTTTGAAAATAGTTTATTCGTGTCAGATAGTTACACGAATACGATAACATTTTCATTTGTTAAACACCAACACATTTCAGTAACGTTTGAAGCATATGCCTTGTAATATTCAGGATATGTTGAGGCAAAAGAAAGAGCGATAAAATAGTTATGTTTAGTTTCAGCAGAATATATTGTATTATAACATAACATGCCAGGGGATATCTACTTCTGGGCGTTCCCTCCCCGGTTCCGTGCCCTGGGCACTAGGCCTCATGTTTTTTTCGTCTTCTGTGCGGGTTATTGATCGGAACCGGAAGTGGTGAAGTAATTCTAGTGGAAAATATATATAACATAACAATTTACCTGGGACTCACCAGTTTCCGCTGCTCCGCCTCCTAGAGCAGCCCCCATTCAAAGAAAAAAAATGTAAGGGAATCAAGATAAACATAGATTAAAAGAAGAACAGTCGTAGCCAAGAGAAAATGAGAGGACGTAGTGTATTCCATTCCAGTAGCCCTTCCGCCCCCAGGCAGTAAGAATGTTCAGTGTAGAGAGGAACCAGAGGGTTCGGGATTTCTTAAAATAATTCCTAGTGCATATTTGGAACATGTGAGGTGCTATATAAAGTCTGTACCATATCACCTTGTATGAAATGCCTCCTTTCTTGTAGTTACTGTGAATTCATATGGGGAGGGCCAGATGACCCAAAGAGCTTTGTAGCTCCATTTTCAAATACCACAAAGATTATTTGAAGGGGACAACCACTTTGTGTATTGAGTGCCCTGAAATTGAAATAGTATGAAAGGGCTCCATCTATCAAATACTTCTTTGTTTTAGTTTGGTTGTCAATAACCAACATAGCCTCTAGACGTTCCTGCCAAAGAATCGTTTTCAACAGCTTTAGGAGTTGATTTAGGTGGGGTGGTTCGGGAGATAGCCAAGATGTCATCAATACCCGTCTAGCCAGTAAGAGACACAGGGTAGGGTAGGCTCCCAGTAACTTAATAAATATAACCACGGTTCTGTAGGCAGTGTAGTCCCTAATACCCTGGCGAGCAGTGTGATGACTTTCTGCCAGTAAGAAAACATCAACACCAATTCCATAAGCAATGGTATGGATCCACCCCTATGAGATTGCATTTCAGACAAGCTGTTAAATAGGGACTATCCGCTTTAATTTTGTGAGAAAAATCAAACGCACAGTATGCCCTATGTATTATACAGAATTGAGTTTCTCTCCACAGTTCATTAGTGGTGCAGCTTCTGACCGTTTGGTAACCTTGTAGTATTTTATCTTGAAGATCTTCCTCCTGGAATGTTTTCCGCCATTTTATTACCGAGGATTTCAACCGTGATGGAAGGAATGTCTATCTTTCTTTTTAAATATAGCCCCCATGTACAGCTAAGTGCAGTACATTAACACTAACCTAAATTAGCCGTGCCGTTCTGTATGCTAATTTATTTAACCAGTTAGTTGCTCTTTATTCCTGTTGTATAACGGACACAGGTTAATGCTAATACACAGCCTTATTTTAAAAAAGCATAACACTTATCATTTACAGACTGAACTACAGATTAAAAAAATATCCCAGCAAAAGTTTTAAAAAAAGCAGGTTTTGGCTGCATTAGGGCCTGGGTCAATTGACATTGGGCGTGTGTCAAAGGCATCAGTTTGAGATGCTTCTGAGCTCATTCAGAATACATTGACAGGTGTCTTGACCTACAGTGGACCTCCTACTGACCTGCATTTGACCTGCTTTAAGTGGGTTTTGCATCCCCATGACTTGTATGTGAATGCAAAACCCGTTTAAAGTGAATCAAGTGAACAAGTGTTCTTATTCCTCTTCAGTATGGTGGTGTCCCCACAGCAAGTCCTCTTCACCACTTGATGTCCTCTAGATTGAATGGCTTCACTCATGGGTCAACTATAAAGCATCTGTCATGAAAGAAATAGCTGCCGTTGCTGGGCTCATTTACAAAATGTTAGTTACCTGGCTCCAATATATCTG